TGAATAGAAAGGAGGCCTTTTTTGTTTCGGTGGAGCCTAAAAAAACAGGGAGAAAATGAGAATACGTAGTCAAAAGCCATGATTTTTAAATTACTTATTATTATTAATAGGGGTATAATTAAAAAAAAACCTAACTAATTTGATTCTCCCATTGAATGAGAATGATCATTCCCTATCTTTTCACATAGAATGCCCATTCCCACAAAAAATGGGAATAGCCATTCCATGAGAATGATCATTCCAACATCTAAAAACTAGTTTTGTTTGGTATGAGGGAATGAGAAGTGAGAATGGCATTCCATTCCACCCCATTCCCGCGTACCAAACGGGGCCTTAGAGGATTCAATCATGAAATATAATTTCAAATACAATATTGAAATCACAGTTGAATATATTACTTGATCTGAATCACAGATGATAGTATATAATTCAGAGCATTCGATGATAACTTACATACTGAAGCCTGGTTCCTCCTCCTTGTAGAACATAACTTAAACAATAAATTAGATGGGTGAGCTGTAATTTTGGGCCAAATTATCCTTAAGGCCACAAGTGTGTGTGCCTTCCAATTTCCTCAATATAATATTACAAGATTACGAGGCTTTAGCAAACAAAAAATTGGCCCCAATAAAGAATCCAGTCAAACAACAAATTCAATTTTGAGGCTTTTTTGTCCCCCTTTGAAGAATTATGAAGCAGTCGGCTTGAGATTTTCTTTCAAACGCTCGTCTTCTAACTCACTCTCCTGAAGCCATTCACAAATTCTGCCTTTCATTTTCGAGTATTTTTCATCACTCCACCAATAACTTTTCAGCTCCGAGAAAATTCATTACATCAATAGCCAATAGAGTATTTTTGGAACCCAAAATTCATAGGACCAACTACGAGACAAAATGACACGAAACATTTCTTGAGAATCCAACCAAGAGCAATGGTTTTCATCGAGACATATTACTTGTTCATAGCGAGTCCTATCATTTTGGGTCCGAAAATATAATCTCTTAAGCTTAGAATTTGATTGCTCCTGTTTCTTAAAAGAAATTAACATTGACCCAAAACTTTGAATAATTAAAATTTATAATCTAGCTAGCTTACTCCTTCCAATCCATCTTATTGAAAATTATATTTTTTGCAAGTAGTGGGGTTTTTTACCCAACTTAAAAATAATGTTGTTTTAAAGAAACCACATTTCATTTCTAACTTATATGCAAACCACATTAAAAGCAAGTTTTTATTCTAATCAACCACGTCCTAATCAAATATTCACTAAACAACTAAAATAAACTTAAATAACATGTCTTGAATGTAAGTCTTTAAATGTACTCTCAGATTTTCAGTAAAGGTTTTGACGCAAAGTTGATTAATTGAAATAAAATCTACTTAATTTAAAGATGACTTAGGCTCTGTTTGGCAAAACTAGCTGAAACCTGCGAGATTATAGCTGAAAGCTGTTAAGCTAGCTGAAAGCTGTGAAATTATAGTTGTTTGACAAAAGTAGCTGTACAACTAGCTTAAATTTGTTAAATGATTAAAAAAGATATGTAATATTATTGATATAAAATTAGAATTATTAAGGGCAAAAACGAAAGAAAAAAAATTGGCAGCTCCTTCCCAAAGACAAATGCTACTTGAGGTACATTTCCTAAGCTACTTGCAAAAGACACATCTTCAAAATAATCTCTTCCTATTTTTGGTCATCAAACAGTTTTACTAGATTATTGATCAAGTCAATAAAACAATATCTCCTGTTGTCAAATAGTACCTTATATATAAATAAAAATAAAATGTAACTTCATATAATGATTTTATTTTTAAAACGGTATTTAGAAAAAAAAAAAGACCCTTATGTATTGATCTCTCTTTCACGGGCATCATGCGGAAGTACCAACTGCTCAATTTATCTCCTTTCAACTGTGGAAAACGTCATCGCGTACAAAATCATCATCACAAATGGGCCACCCTTTGCTCTTTATTGGCCCACGTACCCCAAACCCACATGGATGTCCTTTTATTTTTATCATTATTATCTTATTAATCTACTATAAAAAAGGACAACTCGGTCCATGTCCCTATTCCTTACGACCAATTAAATAATCACGCGTATCAATCTCAATTTCCAAAAGCACATCACATGAACCTGGTCCCTCTTTCAGGATAGGGACGATGACGTGTTTCCTACTACAAAACACGCCTCTCTGGTCCCACTGTTTTCTAGTACTCAGCTCAGTGCTCTCCGCTAACGTGCGCGCTAAAAAGGTGCAGGCTTTGAGATACTTTAAAATCGGGTATTGGGCGCGACCTGATATCCATCTGGATCCGGGTCCAGGGTTCCTAAAAAGAAAGGAAAAATCCAAGTTCTTTGGAATTTGGTATAGGGCCTGTTTGTTTTACTAAAAAGAAAGGGAAATCAAAAAAATGGAAAACTATTAAAATGAAGAATTGGTTTGGGAGTGTTTGGTTGGCTAAAAAAAGAAGGAAATAAAAAAAATGGAGATGAAATGATGTTAGTTGTCATATTATTATTGGATGATGTGAGTGATTTTTTAAGAAAACTAGTTTTGATGTTGTTTGGTTGGCGAAAAAAAAAGAAATGAATTATAAGAAACCTATTTCTTGTAGTTTGTTGTTTTCTTTTGGTTTGGTTCATTCTTAAAAATAAGAAATGAAATGAGATGAGATGAGTTGTCATTGTATTATTGGGTGATGTGTCCAAGATTAAGAAAAGTGTTTTCATAACTTTTTAGGATGAAAACAAAGAAATAAAATTTTAATGAGATGAGGTGAATTGTTATAATATTTTATCGGATGATGTGAGTGATTTAAAATGATGAAAAGAGATGAGTTGAGTGATGTTTGGATGAAAATAATATTTTATTAGATGTGATGGATGAGTTGTTAGATGAAAATAATATTTTATTAGATGTGATGGATGAGTGGTTAGATGAAAATAATATTTTATTAGATGATGTGGATGAGTTGTTAGATGAAAATAATATTTTATTAGATGTTGTGGGTGAGTTTTAGGGATGGAAATGGAGGAAATAGTACTTTTTGAGATTTTCATCTTTTCCATTTCCATTTCTTGGTTTTTCTTGGTTTTTAGGAAATAACCAAACAGGCCCTATAGAGTAAAATGCGCTCTGAATTATTAGAGCATCTCCAACAGCTTCCCCAAAAATTTCTCTAAAATGAGGAATCAAATGTCATATTCTCCAAATTATTTTTGTTCTAACTCCAACAGCTTCCCCATTTTGAAGAATCATGCATTTATTACAATAATAAAAATATTCTACATCTTTGACTAATAAATAATAAATTATTTATTATTTTGAAGAATCACCATTTTGACCAAATTATTTATTATTATAATGAGAAGATGGAGTTGTTTTTTGTGGGTTGAGTCTAGAAGAACGTGAAAAAGTGCTTCCCCAAATATTTGCAGAATGCTGCAGATTTGGGGAAGGCTCTCTATTTTTTCTCTCCTATCCTCATTTTGGGGAATGAGATGGGGAATCTGTTGGACAAAAAAAAAGCTCAAAATTCTCCAAATTTTAGAATACCAAGAAGATGGGGAAACTGTTGGAGATGCTCTTAAAGTTATGATAGATTGAAGAAATATCTACTCCGAATTATACAGTGGTCTTGGGAGCTAAGGCCCCGTTTGTTTTGCATTTCCCCCCTTAGAAAGCCTGCCACATTTCTGAAAAATGTTAGAAATGTGGCGGGCTTTCCAAGGGGGGAAATGCAAAACAAACGGGCCCTAATGCACTGACCCAAAGGACAAATAATTTCTTGGATGCGTAACTAATCAGCACTATGAACGGGAATCCTTGCATAAATTTCTTTCGGTTTTTCTATAGAGTACTCATTGTCACTCTATAAGAGAGGAGAGAGATAGAGAGAAATGAATTATGCACAAAAATTAATGCAAATCAGAGGGGGCCCATGAGCTATTTATTTTTTCTATCTCTCTCATCTCTTAAAGAGTGCCCATGAACACTCTATAGAAAAACCGAATTTCTTTTGATACTAGAGTTAGAGATTATTAAATTAATTAATTTTTAGTAAGCTATAAATAGAACTAAAACATATATGTTGTATTTTTAACGCATGAATTCGATATTATACTCAAAGACCTCAATATGATCCATAGTATCACACTAACGGTGGACCATATACCTATTACAAAATCAATACCAACCCCACCCCACCCCACCCCCAAATATCACAAACTGTTTAATCTTTTTCCTTATTGATACTTTAGAACTAATGATTTTTTAGCATCACGAGCCAAACTTACAACGGTCCAACGGACCATGCAAAAAATCTGGATCCTTTAAGGGGGTGTTTGTTTCAAATCCTATAATTTTAGGATATGAATTTCACCATGGGATTTGAAATCCATATGTAATTTGTTATGGGTTGAGATTCATAAAACTTTGTTTGTTTTAACAATATTTTAAAATTTAAAATACTATAATTTATAATATTTTTGTTTGTTTCAAACTTTTTAGAATTTAAAATCCTTAGTTTGTCTAACACTTTTGAAATTCACCCCATATCTCACTCAAAAAAGAAGATTTCACAAGCCCTTAAATATAATATTTTTTTATTATTTAAAGATTTGATACTCTAAAATTTGTTTTGAAACAAACAAGTTTTATGGAATTCTAAAACTAAAAAAAACACCCACTTTTTGATACTAGAATTTAAAATCCTAATTTTTTTTTTGATACAAACGCCCCCTAAGGGTCCGGATTTTGGCATCCGGCCCGATCCAACCTTGTATCGCATGTCCGGCGCATGCTAGCGCCGAGCTCTTCGATAACCCAAGTACTATGGGCGTCGGTACGATTTACCCACCCCCCTTCAAGCCCAAGCCCATGTAGCCCACCAACACATTATAAATCCCTTACCCCATCTCCCAACCATCCCCACTTGACATCTATCTATAGGATATAATACCAAAAGAAGGGAGTGAAGCGAAAACACCAGTGGCAATGGAAGTAATTTCTGGGAGATTCAGGTCGACTCTGAATCCGTACGCCGCTCCGTACGTGCCCACCGCGTACCGCTCCGTCGAGGACTTCTCCGACGAGTGGTGGGGCCTCGTCAAGTCCGCCTCCCTGCGGTTCGCGATTACTGAGCTGGGGCAACGTGCTTCGAGGAGAACCGAACTGACCTCGACTTCCTCGATATTTGCGATCCTGCCACCGAGGGTACTGACTCGCTAGCCCGCTCCTACCCCTCTCAAGGTGAGTAAATTACGAAACTACCCTTGTCAGGTTTTTGGGTGTGTGGCCTTTAACGGGAGAAGTGTTTTGCAGAGGAGAGGGAAATGAGGGAGAGGAAGTTGGAGCTGGCGAAGTTGGGGGCGGAGAGGTGGAGGGGCCCGCGGGAGATGATGGTGGGGTCCAGGTACTGTGAGAAGGCGCCTAAGTTTGTGAACCTGAAGATGGGCCCGCGAGTTATCCAGCAGCCGAGGTGAAGGGTGGGGAGATGCTCGCTCGCTCGTAGGAGGATGTATGGGTTCAGGGGTAGTTTCGTACTTCCCTTTTTGTAAATTTGCTTGTACATTTTTGTTGACGATCGAATAAATTGTAATAATTTTAAGGTTGTAACATGACTTCGTTAGCGATTTAAGCCTTAATATTATTCTTGTCCTCGTTTGATATCACATATCAGGCCTGTGGAATATTGATGGGCTGAAGCTGGCGTAATGAGGCCCGCTACCTGGGTCTTTAAATTCAGTGAAAGAAAAAGAAGAAAAGAGTAAATTTCATTTAACCCCCCTGAACTGTGGGGTGAATTGCATGTCGGAGCCCTCAACTTTTACTTCACTTGACCCCCCCCCTGAATTATCTCACATAACCCCCCAGAGTTAACAACTTGGTGGAACTTTAGAGGATGAAAACGCCCTTAATACATATTATAAATTAATAAATTGACTAATATCCAATTTTGGTGTTATAATCTCCACCCTCTCATATTGAACCTCCTCTCTCTGCCATAGATGCCGGCGACTCTGCTGTTTAAAGATATGGAGATAATTGGAAGGGATGCGGTGGTTTTTGTTGGAGATGGGTCTCGAGAAATTAATGGAGAATGATTGGTTTTTTTTCTTCTTTGTTGTTTGATGATGATGGCAACGATGTGTTTGCTAATAGGTTTTTAGATTTGCCGTAGGCTGAAGAAGAGGAATCGGAGGGAAGGATGAAGCGAGGGCTTAAAAGGAGGCGGAGGCGGAGGCGGCGATTGGGTTTAGATTGATTTGGGGGTGGGGGGAGTTTTGAAGGGGTTACGACGTATTACACCCCCTTAATTCAGGAGGGTTAGGGTCAGTTTGGTTGATTTCCTGAAAACCAAGAAATGGAAATAAAAAGATGAAAATATCAAAAAGTATACTTTCATACATTTTTATCCCTAAAATTCACCAAAATATTTAATAAAATATTATTTTCATCTAACAATTCATCCACAACATCTAATGAAATATTATTTTTATCTAACAACTCATACATCACATATAATAAAATATTAATTTTATCCAACAACTCATCCACCACATCTAATAAAATATTATTTTCATCCACAACATCACTCAACTCATCTTATCTCATCGTTTTAAATCATTCACATCATCCAATAAGATGGTGATAACTTATCTCATCTCATTAACATTTTATTTTTCAAAAACGCTATTTTGGCTCGCTGATTAACTCGCGACCTCAACTCGCGCCTACGTGGCTGGCTCCACGTCAGCAACCCCAATTTCATTCCTGTGACCTCAACTTCCTTCCCCAAACTCGTTCTCTCCTCATTTCAGAGAAAAATCCCCAAAAGAAACCCACCCCCCCTCCCAACCCTAGCCCTAACTCTGCTGTGAAACCCCTGTCCGCCCCCTGACTCCGCCGTGACACCGCCGCCGCCCCCTGACTCCGCCGTGACACCGCCGCCGCCCCCTGACTCCGCCGTGACACCGCCGCCGCCCCCTGACTCCGCCGTGACACCGCCGTCGTCCCCTGACTCCGCCGTGACACCGCCGCCGCCCCCTGACTCCGCCAACACACCGCCGCCATCCCCTCAGCTCTCCATCCCCCTCCCCCCACTTCAAAACAAGTACCTTTCCTCTTTAATCCATCAAAAACCCTCGATTTCGTGCAAATTTCACTTCTTTTCATCTGATTTGATATGATTTCTGTTTGCATCTTGTTTAATTGAAACCTACTTACAAACTATTTTGGTTTGAGAGAGTGATGTGTTTAATTCGATTTCGTGGGTCTTGTGGATTTTACTGGTTAATTAAAATGGTTATCTAGTTCATTTACTCCGTGTTGTGTTCATTAAAACTCGTTAACAAGATAAAAATTCGTGGGTCTTTCCACAAATTTTTTCGTGGGTCATTAAAACTCACAAGGTAGTTGGTGGCTTGTTGTGTTTGAATTGGCATATGGCGTATACAGTTTGCAATTGATTGATGTTTGCCTTGAGAATTTTGTGTAGATTACGGTTATTCTAATTTATGCACCTTTTTAGCTTTCACATCTGTAAGCTCATGTTGACACATGAAACAAATCAAATAAAGGTGGATTATGGTAATAAATAGCAGGACAGCGTCTCGTTGAGAGGAGACTCGAAGGATTATTCTTGTGATATATAAGCTTTTGCCATTAGGGAATCCAGAGTGAAACAAATAAAAGAACAAGCGGGATAAGAATAGCAGCTCAACCCGCTTGCGTTTAAGAAGCGTGGGTGTGTTCATCAATGACCCTAAAACTAGACCAGGACCAAAGTTGATCATGTGGCTAGTCCTGTTTTAAACAAAACCAGTTTATGATGCTAAATTTAGCATTAGAAAAACTAGGTCAATGTTTGCTCACTATTACCCCAACACAATTTCCCCTAAAATGGATTCAGGATCAAACTTGACCCTATTTTAAGGAGTTTCCAAACACACCATAGGAGAAATTGCAAACAGTGCACACCAAAAGAATTAAACTCTACGTCAATAAATCCAAATCCTGAACAACAAGTGTAAACTGTGAACAGTAACATCCATGTAAAAATTATCCTCCAAATAACTTTAGAAAAAAATACCCTCAAATCAACCAACCATCAGCTTTGTTAAAAATATTGAGTATGAATTTTTTTTTTTGCTTGAGAGAGTGATGTATGGATTTTAATTAAAATGGTTATCTAGTTCCTTTACTAATCAGTATACTTGGTCTAAATCTTTTTTCTACTGCAGAATTGATGCGGCATAATTATGTACCAAAATTGCAAGTGCACAATTTATCAAGTTATAGTATAAAAAGATATCGATCCCACGAAGAAGGTGATTTTAAGAGATTATTAAACTTGGTTCTTATATTTTGTGCGTGACAATTAGGAATAAAGAATAAGTGTGAATGTGATGAGTGGTTGTTTTGATTTATGTGCAAGAGATAATAAATTGAATTTTAGAGGAGAGAAGGAAGAATTAAAGAATAAATGAAATCACAAGGCAAGAAATATGAATTAATAAAATCAAGAAATAAAACTAAGAATGAAAAGAAAATTTAAGAAAGTCAAGATGGAGGATTCAAAAGAGGTAAGAAATCTAGAATATAATCCACTAACCAATTTCAATTACAAAATATAAACTATTCTCTTTTTATCATATTTCAACTTAGATTTATTAAGCATAGATTATCAAACCATTTAAGGAAAGTGTAACCTATCAAATTATCATCTAAGCTAAAATTACTATTCATGATAAGAACAACAACATGATAATAATCCTAGAATTCATAAGCATAACCTATCAAACCATTTAAGATAAGCATAGATTATCAAATTCTTCTTCTACCGATTAGTTCTCTAGTTGATTATCCTAAACATGAACATTTTAAGTACAAGAGAATAATTCATACAATATAAAAGAAATTAGACTAGTTTCATACAATTCTAAGATTCCTACAAGAATTAAATTCACATCTTAAGAAATAAAAACAAGAAAAAGAAGACTAATTACAAAATTAAAAAGAAAAGAAAAATCTAAACTATGAACAAGAAATAAATCTAATTACAAAGAAAATAAAAATCTAAACTACAAAATAAATTGCAGAAATTAAATGCAAGAAAAATAAATCTACTCTACAAATTAAAGTGCAAAAAGAAAATAAAAAAGACAAGAAAGTAAATCTATACTACAAGCATGAATTTAAATCTAACTAATAAGCAATAATAAAGAAATTACTAAAAAGAAATAAAAGAGAAAAGAAATGCAAACCTTCAAATTGCTCTTCATCTCCATCCTCATCATTCAACAAAGAGGAGAAAGAACAAATTTAAAGAGGAAAAAATTATTTTTATTAATTGCAACTAAAGTTACAATTTTTGGAAGGCCTTCTCAATTAAGAGTAGCCCTCCTCTCCAAAAGGAGTTTACAAAATTTTCACACCTCTAACCCCTCACTCTCTACCCCTATTTATAGTAATCTTCAATGAATATGAGCCATTGGATTTGTCTTGAGCCCCAAGCAACAATCTCCACCTTTGATTTATTTGATTTTCAAAAGAAAAATCTTTCATTGGTTCTTGGGCTTGGATCTTGGGCTTTTGCTTGGGCTTTTGGGCTTTGATATTTCTTTTAATCCTTCATCTTAGCTTGGGCTTTTGGATAAATTGGACATTGATTTTCCAATTGGCTTCTTGATTCATTTCTTCATTTAATCAATGGGTTTTTGTTGAGAGATGAGAGTTTGAGATTTATTTTTTATTAACCTGCCATTTAAAGATAAAAACAATTATTAGTGGTATATTTATTCATATAAAATAGATAATGAGGGTATAAAATTATAATAAAATGTGATTATCAAATACCCCCACACCTAAACTTTTGCTAGTCCTCTAGCAAAGAAAATAAAAAGAAAATCCTAACTCACTTTCGCAGGAATCGCGGTTGTATTTAGCGCATACAACAAGCCTTTAAACCCCTAGGTTACCCTAGTGGACGAGTTGTAGTCTCGTGAGGGTTTGCAGTGAATATACCCACAAAATTCGGTCAACTTGCCAAGTTAAAAAAAAGTCAGTAAATAAAAGATTTTGCTTGATATAAACTCTTTGTTTTAAATAAATTTCAAGTTTCTTGATCAAAAATTATTTTTCAAGACCATATATACAAAACAACAATATATATATAAAAACAATGATTAGTGTTATATATATTTTTTTTCACTCTCTAATTCTTGGTGATTGTTTTCTATTTTAACGGGCTTTCTAAGTGACCATTTAACGAGTTTTGGGCCAATGAATCCCAACCCAATTGGGTTTAGGTCATTAAGTATAGAGATACTCCTTGGGCTTAATTGCTCAGTCAACTTAGGCTTTATAAGATAGAATCACCTTGAATTTAAGAGTTTTTTTTTTTTGGTGTCCATTTTTCGCACTCTTCTTTTATAAGGTTAGTTTTTTTTATATATATATGTGTAAGTATATATAGTCTTAAAAAAATGTGTAAATCAAGATAACTTGAAAAATATTTTCAACTCTAAGTTAAGCATGCAAAAATTTCATTATTTTTAATTAAAAATCTAAGGTAAGACTTAAGTAAAGTATACTAGTTGAAAAAATCATTTCTTAAGAATTTATTTGGAGTTATCATAAAAGGTGGACTTGAATATGTCACTAACTAAGAATTAGAAAATTTAAAATCTATCAATTTGATCAATTATTACTTAACTCTATTAATTTGGCAAGTGAATCTTTTTTTTTTACTAACAAAAGATAAATGCTGAGACAGAGAAAAGAAGAAAAAAAAATACTAAAAATACTAACTAGCAAAACAAAAGCTTAACTAGCTTACACCCCCATACCCAGACTTTGCAATGTCCTCAATGCACATAATATCCAAAATATCACACTTTAATAAGTACAAAATACTAACTAGCAAAACAAAAGCTTAACTAGCTTACACCCCCATACCCAGACTTTGCAATGTCCTCAATGCACATAATATCCAAAATATCACAGTTTAATAAGTACATGCCAAAAAAAATCAAAGACTGGGTAAAGTAGAAAGAACATCCCTCACTGCTCATCTCCTGATATATCGTCATCCACATCATCA